CTGTAGAAACGAAAGGGTAAGTATCCTCCTCCTCCTTTTTGAAGCTCATTGTACCATTTTGAAGTCTTTATTTGTTTATTGACTTTGCTAATTAAAATGTCACTAAAGGAGGTATTAGCGAAAAAACGTACATTGAAAACACAGTTAACAAAATTAAAATAAAAGGTTGCGGACGAAAATGTCCAAGGAAGTGACTTGGAAGTACTAAAGAATAAATTTAAAGTGTTTGAGACAGAAATAAATTCTAATTTTGATTCTTTGTTCGGGTTATGTACGGAAGAAAGTATTGATACTTATGTAAAAGAGAAAGAAGAGATTGACGATATTCTCTTAGATGTAGAAGTCGAATTAAATCGTAAATTAGCTAAACTTTCCAAAGAAATTAAATCGGAGCTTTCGGTTTGCACGAATACTGAGAACAATGTTAAATTACCCAGAATTAATTTCCCAATGTTTTCCGGTAACTTACACGAGTGGCTTTCATTTAAAGATATCTTTTTAGCCACTGTTGATTCAAATCCTAATAATAACAGATGCAGTCAAATTACAGTACTTAAAATCTGCACTAAGAGGAGATGCTTATCGTATTGTGCAGTCAATACCCATAGTTGACTCTAAATATAAATTAGCCTTTTCATTACTAGAAGAAAGGTTCTCTAATCACCGTGAACAAGCGTATGCTCATCTGAGACCATTTATGACTATGCATCCTATGCAAAATGAGTCTGCATCAGCAATATTAAACTTATTATACATTACAAATGAATGCGTGAGATCACTAGAAGTTTTAAATCAGAGTGTTAACGGTTTCCCTTCCAATGTGTTTGCATACATTTTTAGTGCAAAAAATAAATCCTAACACCAAAATATGGCGGGAAAGAAAATTAGAGAAAGAGAATTTGCCTAATTTAACAGATCTTATAGAATTTCTTAAAGGTCATGCAAGAACTCTCAACGCTTCAAATACTGTGACTAACACAAAAAAAGTTACACATAGAGTTACCGCTGTTGTTTCTAATGCAAATGAAAAACATATGCAGAATTCGTGTAGATTATGTAATTTGAGCAATGACAAGCTTTTTAATTGTCCTAAATTTCAAAATTAAGTGTAAAAGAAAGGGTCCAATTTGTGAAAAAAAACAGAATTTATATTTTTTGTTGTTTTAATTTGCACAGTGTGAGAAATTGCCGTTCTAATTACTTATGCAAGAAGTGTAAGAAAAAACATAGCTTTCTCTTGTGTTATCAAAGCAAAAATAATTCCGTTGGCAACCACAGTAGAAAGAGCAGACACTTTAGATCAGGAGTTGGATGATCAAAAACAGCAATGCGTTAAATGTATATGCACCTGCATTTCAAGCTAAAACTCAAAACGAAACCTTTACAGCCGCTAGGGGTACTAACAGTGGGGAAAAACGTGATTTTATCTACTGCCTTTGTATTCATTGAGACTAATGATGGAACTTTAATTAAGGTGAAAAACGTTATGTGATAGTGGAAGTGTTTGTTTTTTGTACCACTGAAATTAGCGGACATACTTAATTTAAAAAGGGAAAAGACAAATATTTCGGTTTGCAGTATATCAGGTATTTCAAACTACGATAAAAAGAAAAGCAGTTGCCCTTATCTGTAATCAGGAACAAACGTATGAAAGGAAACTAGAGGTTTTGGTAATTCCAAAAATAGCAGGTTTAACTCCCGCAAAGTTTATCGATGTTAGTAACCTTGCGATTCCTGAGAAGGTGAATTTAGCGGATCCAGAATTTTATATATCCAGAGAAAGTAAATCCTGTTGCTCGGAGCAGGAAGTTTTTTATGATATGTTACGAGCTGGCAGAAAAGGATCAAGATGCAGTGCGATTCCTGTTTGTGGGAAACACACAATTAAATGATCTAAAACTAGCGACATATAGATTCAAGCACGTAAATTTTGGGAAAGTCTGTTTTTGTTGGCTGCAACAATTAAAGAACACATTAGAAAATATTGAGATGAGCAGCCAGATGTATTTAAAATATTGAATTCTTGTGTTTATGTTGATGATTTTATTACTGGACAGGACAGTATAGATGAGGCTCTAAGCTTATTGCGTAAGGCTAAACAAATTATGAGTGCAGCAAATATGAACTTGCGTAAATGGGTATCCAATGATCCTGAGCTGATGAGAAAATGGGAAAAAGAAGATTTCGAGATCCATCCACATAAAATCAATGACTCAAACGACACACTTAAGATCTTGGGATACTAATGAAGACAGTCTGAGTATAGACACAGACAGTTTGATGGAATTCCTCAAGAATAAGCATAATACGAAACGATTCATCTGGAAAACTGCCGGGAAGATTTTTGATCCCTTTGGGTTAATAACTCCATTTACTGTTAGACTTAAATTCTTGCTACAAGAACTTTGGGTTCGAAAATTGACATGGGATGATGAACTACCTACAGATATCTGTCAAGAGTGGGCAAAGTGGTGTTGTGAGTGTCATCATTTAAGTAAAAATGTCATGTTGCACCTGTGAAAAGAATTACGTTACCTCGTCTTGAATTACTTGGTGCATTACTAGCAGCTCATTTAGGTTTTGGAGTGAAAAAATTGCTCGATCAAAAGAAATCTTCGAGAATATTTTATTGGACTGATGCCAAAATAGTGCTATGCTGGATTAAAGGTACCAGTACCAAATGGGAAATCTTTCATCGCCAACAGAGTTAACGAGCTTAGGAAGTTAACACAGCCGACAAAGTGCTTCTATTGTTCAACAAAAGAGAACCCAGCAGAAGTTATGACGTGTGGTGTTCAAATTGACTTTCTTGTGAACTGTTCCAAATGGTGGTCATGTTGCCAACCATAATTAGCTATCAAAGTTTTGTTTACAAAAGGAAAAGTAAACAAATCTTTGATAGCTAATACAATCTCAGAATGCAGTGCTAAACTCATTTTATTATTTAATCAGATATTTTTTCTTAGGTTCATCATCATTTATGTAACCTTTTAGGGAAAGAAGTATAAATTTATAAAAATATTCGAGTTTATTTGATTGTGATTTGGATTTTGGGTGTTTCGACAGTGTTGTGTATTCTTATTTTTTACTTATTTATTATCTTGCATATTATAATTCTATTCTGCACTTTTGTTTAATTGAATTAGTTGCCACTTATTTATTAGTGATTATTTTGTACATTATATGGTACACTTTGTGATTCTGAATTAACATTTGAATTTTAAAGGAAGTTTAATTAAAAGTAAAGATATGTCACCTGATGGGCCTTCGCAACATATTCAGAATTGGGTAATTTTCAATTGTTCTGTGCCATTCTGCAATATTCTTGAAGCTTCTGAAAAGTGCATTTTCAAAGTACCAAGAACTCCCTTTAATTTTAAAGTTTTAGAAGTTCTAGGCAATCCTATAAATATTACGTTTCAAAAACTGGTTTAGTGAATTCAGTGATTTGATTCAGAAGTGCATGATTATGATTGATTTTCAGCTTTTCTCTGAGAGTGCTTTTGCTGATCAGTGACACTCCTCATGTTTAAAGAATTTGCCTTATCTCTTTTTCTACTTGAACTATTTATAATTGTTTACCTTGCATGAGGTTTATTTGTTTCAATAAAGTAAAAGTCCTTTCCTGTTCAGCTAGAGTAGTTATTAAGGAATATTCATGAACCTGCACTTTGCAACAACTGGTGCCCAAATTGTGGATCTTTTTGAATGCCTACAATGATGAAGACGGACACACAGCTGAAAGAATTTGTGGGCATGAATACTTTAACCCCTTAATGCACTTGACTGTGTCAGACACGGGCAAAAGTTACCAGCAAATTTGCACATGGCCATGCCTCACACAAACGATCTTGTATCTCCCGTTATTTTATTTCTAATGCTCATCTAAGATCCGTTCTAGTAAAAATAGATAGGTTAGCTTATAATTAAAGTTATTTAACATAGATGGCACCACTATGCAGCATTTTTCTTATATAAACCATGCGGTCCATTTCGATTATTAGCCTGTAAGTTTGTTGGGAATATTCTGTTATAAGCAGTTGTTTGGTGTAAGATAATATATCAATTTTTATGGATAAATTACCTTTTCGAAGCATGGTATGACTTTGTACCATACCATGCTTCATGGTATACCATATCAAACTGAATTTTTAGCCATTCTTATGCTTTAAGTATGACATTTTGATTTTAATATTTTGAAATTCAAAATAAACATGTAATCAAATTATTTACACTTTGTATAATGAATGAAAACTCACAACTGAAATTTCAAAAAATAGCATACACTATACCTATATATTCATTTTTTATCAAAACAAAAATTCGATCATTTTTTACCAGTTTTTCCGAAAAAAAAACTCATACTGTAAGGGGTTAAGCAACAACCACGAATATTAAGAACAAGGCAGTTGCAAATAATGCCAAAATTAAGAGCAAGAGATGTAAGTGGAGCTAAATTGAAAGAGATATCTGCTGTTCCTAGATCATGAACTCCATACAAGCAAATGCTGAAATGTTGCATTAAAAGTAACTTCTTTAGTTCTTTTTTTTTTAGAAGAAGAGGTATTTATTTAATCTTCCTCCTTTTTTTTTTTATTTCAAAATAATATCGTTATGTATGTAATTGTATCTAAAAAATATAAAACTTTGTATTCAATCATTTTTAATATACGACTATATTTTAGTCTGTGATTTATGAACAAACAATCCAGATTAAAGTATACGTTAGAAAGGAAAAGATGTATACGAATCTCAGAAAGACATGACTTCTAAACCACAAAATTTACTAATCTGCAGAAATACTTGTCCCAAGATTTGCCTGTTATAATTCTATTGTATTTATATATGAGATAAAATGAGCAACGCTAATTATTGATAGTTCATCAGTTTCTAGCAATTTAAATATTATTTTGAATTTTTTAAACTTAAATTCTTAAAATGGATACATTCACACAATAACACACTTTTGAAAACTGAAATTCTTAAGAATCAGTCAGACACACAAGGAAAAACAAATATTTATAAAAAACTGAAATTAATACAAAATATTGAAGTTAAAAATCATATAGATACAAAATCTTATTAGATAATTCCCCAGACTTTCGATCATTTAATCCTGTATAACATTTTTCTTTGCATACGATGTTGAAGTTCTCCTCTTCTAATCATCAGGTACAATACTTTGTAAATAGCTCTTTCTGGATATTTCTGGAAGATAAGAAAAATGAATTACCACTTATGAATTTAAATAATAGAACAATGACTGATCTATTTTTATTAGCAAATAAATAAACTAATTATTACAGGATTTAAAAGGAGCCATGACTAATAAAGGCTTCTTAAATGTGAAAAAGCACCAAGCTGAATATAATGTGGTAATTAAATAATGAGAAACATATATACAGATCAGGGTTTTTGATGAGATGTTGTAAGGACTCGCATTACAATGTTAGAATGATAAGAAAAATTACAGAACTTTATCAAAAGAATGAATAACAAAAGCCTATTGTAAAACTTGCATATTATTAGTTTTGAATTCTTCTCCCACTGTACTGTATTGCTTACTGCTCTTTTTTCTCCCCTTTATTGCCATTGTCTTAAGACTGTTCTGTTTATAAGTCAGAAATAAACAGAAAATTTTGCCCAACAAGTTGGGAAGTTAACTTATTGATGAGAAAAGCATGCTGCTTCAAAGAATTCTTGCTTTTGGGCTTGCAATTACAAAAAACCACATTTAATTCCACTTTAACATTTTACTGTGCAAAAAATGACACTGAATTTGCACAAAGCTCTTAAATACCCAGCATATGGACAGTTCATGATATCTGAAAGCCTCATGCTAATGTTACAAATGGATCAAATTATACCAAATTTCTTAATCAGAATTTTAACTTGTTTTCCCCCCAAAAAAGCCCTTTTTTCTCAATGCCACTATTAGATTATTACACAGTCTACATAAATATTCATCTCCTTATATATTACTATATTGTTATAACATTCTTAGATGGATTTCATGAAACTTCATAGTTTCCAAATCAAAAAAATCAAATAACTTTTCACTAATCATTGGTCGGTCCCCCTCCCTGGGATGGATTTTATGGCTTAGCATTTGCTAAAATATTAAGAAGCAACTATCCTGTTTCTTCAAGAAGCAGACAAAAAAGATCGTGTTCAAATAACCATCTTGTGAAATCAAAATGTGACTCATAGCTGAAACAGCTGTGCAGTCTTTGCTTATGTCCAAGAAGAAAATTATGTCTGAATGCAATTGAGATTTGTGAACAAATGTCTGCATAAGATGAATACAAGTTGATTGGAGTAACTCTAGAAGAGAGCCATATGCCTGTTATTCTTGTTATCTTGTCATAAAATCAAAACTAATGCTAAAAAATTAGTGGATATTGATGAAAACTTATTCAGAAAAAGAAAACAAAACAAGCACAGGCTGTGTTCGTCCCCCCACATAGGGTTTTTGAAGGATTTTACCACAAAATTAGAGAATGTTCCTTATTCTTGTTAACAGTCTTTCAATTTTACCTAGTACTGAGCCAGACATATAGAGAAAGAAACTAGCAAAAATGTGAAAATATGGCATCAATAATGCATGTTATGGCTGTAACAAAAATCTACCACCCTAACTTATTGCTTTCTGATGTTGTAAATCAATATATTGTCTGACTATATGCAATGACATTTTCATATGGCATTTCTTTGGTAAAAACTAAAACTGCTATAACTTACCTGTTTCAAAAAGTCTTGCACAATACTGAACTCTGAAACTTGTGAACCAATAGCAAAACGTTTTTTTAATTGTTTTTCTATCCGCAGAAGCATCTGGTGTTCCTCTTCTGTAGTAAAACCTTCTGCACCAGCAAGGTCACCTGAATGAGCAGCATCAAGAGTTGATACTTGAAATAAACGCATTGCTTCATCAACATGTCTATCAGTAGCAAAAGGCTGAAGTTCCATTTTTGCTAATGATTCAGATATTCGAATAATGGCCTCCAATTGTCTAAAACATCAAATGAATAACTTAATGTAATGTTTTATGACAAAGTGAATTAATCACAAGAGATAAATATACTTAAAAATTAGAATTTTCTGCATGTGATAATAAAAATAATTTACTATTAATTAAAAAGATGACAGAAATTTTTATTTTGAGCTTCAGAAGGAACTTTATTTGGTAAGACATTCAAATGTTAGTTTTATATAGTACATATAATGTTTTAACAACTTCACAGTTTGCCCTGAGACAAACTTGATGATTTGAAAAGTGTTGGTAGTAGCTTTAACAAATTTTAATAATTCAAATAATATCAAAAGACCAATGACCATCTTAAATACCCAAATAATTGTTTAAAATATGTACCATATATCCCAGCATATAGCACACACCTATAATTTCAAACTATATATTTTTTATTTTTAAGTATATTTGCCTTACAACATGCACCCTTTTCTTTATGAAGAAACCCGAATGATACATGCGTCATTCTCTTATCTTTTATCAATCAAAGACTTCCCCCAGGCTTTCAACAATTGTATACTGAATTAACATGTGATAAGAGGAACAACATGTCTGTGGGGGGGGGGAGTGCTTGAGGGAGTAAATAATTTTGCAAAAAGGGTGGGTTTTATTTAATGTATGTATGCACAAGAATGTTATTCTAGCATTTCGAGTAAAGGGGGACATAATTTGGAGTGAGAATGCATGTCCTGCATGAATGTTTGATATAATAATAAGAAAAACATTGATATGAAAAGAACAAAAACGTTCAAATAAAAACAATAGGTCATGAAAAATCTTACCCCAGCGTAGAGCTCTCCTACTAAGTGGATGATACAAAATTAAAACCCATGGTTATTTTTAGAACAAAGACAAAGCTGACATGTAATTTCAAAAATGGTACTTTCCTTCATATTCACAAGATAGAATGGAGGTACAGTGTAAAATTGTAGATAAGAAATGTTTGGCAAAGGCATCCTATTGCCTTAAAGAATCCGAAGTATTTTAGTTAGGGACACGAATAATATGAATAAGTTGATGAAAAAGTGTAATGCAGATATGGCAGTTATTCCAAGCAGATTAACACCATTAGTTCAGTCTTTAGTTATGTATATCAATAAATAATTAAAATAAAATTTAAAACAACAGTGGAATATGTGGATGTTAGAAGCTGAAAAAACATTTACAAAAGGAGCTTAAATGTGTCATGCCAGTCCAAAAATAGTGTGTGGCGGATAATAAAAGCATGGAATGAAATTAAACCCAACATATTTCAAAAGTCATTTGAAAAATAGTACATCTAACAAACTACATGGAATGAAAGATGATTATTTATTTATGGACCAGAGTAACAATGATAGTAAAGATGAAACATTATGTTATCACATGTTAGTCGATTAAAAAAAAATTCAAGTTCATAAGGCGTAATTTCTTTTAGATATATCTTTTCTTTTCTAAGGTATGTATATTCATAAGGTAGGTCATTACATTTAGGTACATTCAGAAATCTAATTTTTGTACACTTATCTTTTCCTTTTTTTTTAAATCCATCACTTTTATATGCATCATACGAGGGTTGGAACTTTAATAGTGGCAACACAGCTGAAAAAAACGCTACGCAACAAAACCAAAGAATATCGCGTATACCACATGTGAACTACATACCTACCTTACCTCTCAGCAAAAAGACTTGTCCTGCCTACGTAATGTGCATGCGGAGTGACACGAAGAACGGATCCTTGTATTAGCTGGCAGTCTAAAGTAAGTGTTGTCAGGATGTTTTCAAAACAAGAACAATGATGTTGGATAAAAATTGAATGTGCCAGAGGTCGTATAGCACGACAGTGTCATCAAGGGCTTTAAGAGGCTTGTGGGGAATCTGCATTGCCTTAGAGAACCGTAGCAAGATGGGTGAAAGCATTCAATGAAGGACGCCAAAATGTGGCAGATATGCTGCAGCCAGGTTGTCCAAGTGTCAGCGATGCAGACGTGCAAGCTGTTGCCGCACTAATGGACAGTGATTGCCGCCAAACAATCGTCAGCTGGCCGGACAAACAGAATTAGCGCATACGACTGTGCTGCACATTCTGAAGAAACGCCTGTCCATGAGAAAAATTGCTTCACGATGGGTTCCACATCAATTGACGGAAATGCAGAAATGGCTACGATACGATGCTGCCCGAACCCACCTGGAGCGCTGTGAGCGCAAGGAGATGCTTTTTTACGCCGTATCATTACGCTGGATGAGACTTGGGCCCGATCATACCAGCCAGAACTGAAACGCCAATCAAACGAGTGCCGTCATCATGGGTCACCACGACGTTCGAATTTTCATCAGAACCCCAGCAATGTGAAAGTTATGGTGATTGTCGTGTACGACTGTGATGGTGTCATCCTAACGCATACCTTCATACTTTGCATACTGCTCATTTTTGGTGCACGATTTCTGACCAGCTTTGAGAAAAAAACGGCGACACTTTCTGCAGAACGCTCCTCTCATTTTGCATAACAATGCTTGGCTGCATGCAGCGCAAGCTGTGACTGATTTGTTCAAGCGATGGGGCTGGGAAGTGCTTTACCATCCACCATACTCCCCAGACCTAAGCCCTTGTGACTATGACTTAATTCTTAAGATCAAGGAACCACTTCGTGGCACTCGCTTCCAAACTGTTCCTGAGATTCTTGCGGCAGTAGACCGGTCCATTCAAACTATCAACAAAACAGGCGTTGCTACAGGTATTCTGCGACTTCCACATCGTTGGAAACGGGTTGTACACAATGCTGGCGACCATATTGAAGGACTGTAAAACATGGTGACATGAATCACTTTTGTATTCCTTGTAAATAAATAGTTGCCAGTATTAAAGTTCCAACCCTCGTATAACATATATTCATAAATTTCAATTTTATTTTTGTATTAAAAGTGCACATTAAACACAATATGTAGTACATCTAGTGTTATAACAGCTTTAAATGGTATTAAAATCTTGTAACTTAAATAATTTAAATAGATGAACATTAAGGTATTTGTGAATGGCAATATTTGAAACCAGACTCGAGTGCCAAGTGCGACTCTCGCGCGAAGAATGTAATTTATTTTTAAATGCTAGAATATGTTTTCTTTTTTTGTTTGTATGTTGCAATTTTTGAGTGTTAAATAAAAGTTATTGCTGTGTTCCATCATTGGAGTTGCTTCATATCGCGAAAGAAGTATTACAGTCTTAATTATTTTGGAGGCACCGGCGAGATCGAATAATCGTGCGTATTTTTATTTTATTAGTTCATCACTGAACATAATATTAGTGATACCAGATTATTACTTCCTGTTCATATAGAATTGCTTTATTTTATTAGTTCATCACTGAACGCAATATTAGTGATACCAGATTATTACTTCCTGTTAATAATAAATTTTCTTATTTTATTACCGTATTTGATATTATATTTAATATTCATTTTAGTTGTCCAGACGGTAGATATATATATTGCTCTATGTTATTATTCTTATTTTAATCACAATTAATGTGGTAGAGAGAATGAACTTCATATAATTTAAATATTTAATTTTTGAGCTATTTTGAGGAAATATAAGGAACACAGTGTTCGTTAATTTTAAACATAGAAACAATGCCTTACTTAAGAAGAGCTCGTAAGGAAGATTTGCAAAATCTCGCGGCTGAACTGGGAGTTCACGTGACTGCAGATTTGAAAATAGTTGATTTAAAACAGAAAATTGTTGAAAGTAGAGATTATAATGAAGTCTTCGTCAAAGGAGTCTTAGACACAATAATAGAAGAACGGAGAGAGAGAGGGAGGAAAGGGAAAGAGAAGAAAGGAAAGAGAGGAGGAATGGAAAAGAAGAACGTAGGAGACACAGGAAGAAGCAGAAGAGCGGAGAAGGAACGAACAGTATGAATTAGAGAGATTAAGACTTGAAGCAGAGACAAAGTCAGTTGATAGATCAGTTGCTAGATTTGATGGTGAGACGAAGTCTCAAAATACCGGACAGAACCGGCCGAAAACGGAGCTGCGTCACCTTATGCAGAAATTCGATGACAAGAAAGGAGATATCAGTCTATATTTGCTATTGTTTGAAAGGCAAGCAGAATGGGCTAAAATTGATAAAGAAGAATTTTTATCACATTTACTAGGACTACTTCCTTACGAAGTAACCCAGTTAATAGCTAGAGAACCCTCCGATAAAGCTAAAGACTATGAACACATGAAAAATTTATTGTTAAGACGGTTTAAATAAGCCCGGAAAAGTTTAGGCAGAAATTTTATGAAACATCAAAAGAGTACCGAATCCACATGGGTGGATTTCAATTATGAAATAGAAAATTATTGCAAAGAATGGGTGACTGGTCTAGGAGTTAAGACTTTTGATCAGTTGCTAGATTTGATGGTGATTGACCAACTTAAACGTCGAGTTCCTCCTGAAATTCGAGATCATTTTCTTGATGAGTGGGTAGAGATGATTTCATCTAAAAAATTACCTGAAAAACTTGATGCCTATGAAAATGTTTGCGGAAACTTTCAAAAAAGGCCTGTAGTGGATAGGCAGAAAGAAAGATACAATGCACTAACTCAAGGTAAATTGAGTTCAGATAATAAAATTAAAAATGAAAAAAAAAATTGTCATCAGGATTTAATTCGCAAAGCTAGTTTCATAGACCTAGAAGTCCACGTCCAGATGATAAATATGAAAAACGAAATACGCCACAATGCTATCAGTGTGGGTCCTATCAACATTTAAGACCCCAATGTCCAAAACTTAAGAATAGTACTGAATCTCCTGCTAATCTTAACAGAATTAGTGCAAAACCAGAGGATAAATTTCTATTACCTTATACTAGTATGGGTTACGTAAATGGTCATAAAATTCCTATAATAAGGGATTCAGGTGCTAGTATTGATATAGTTTGTCGCAAATACATCACGCCGGAAAAGCTGGCAGGTGAAAATGTGTGGGTGCAACAGCCATTATATTTGAATCCAACCTG